CTGACACGAGTACTAGGAATGGAATTTAGGTCTTTTGAGAACAGTATATACTCTTCAACCCTGAACCAGCTCTCCAGTTCTTTGCTATAACTAACTTCTAGGATGCCAAGGAAAAGATACATTTAACTAGTAACTCTTCCAGAGTCCACCTGTTGTGGTTTAACAGCATTGTTAACAGTTACCTATTGTGACTGGTGTTCTTTTTCTAGTATCTGTCTAAACCGTTCTGGGCTCCACAGCACTGTAACATAATTGGATGGAGTTCTGTAGCCCGTTTAAGTGTCACACTTAAGTACCTTAAACAAAGCTTTTCTTATGTGCAGTGGGACTCATGGCAGGCACTGTAGCCAACATGGCATCTGAGTACAAAACCAAGTTATCCAAAAGTCTCCAGTGCATGGAGTTCATGCAAAGGGTGGGCTTGAACCCAGGAGACAAGAAGCATCCTTAGTGAAGATCACTGGTGCTTGGGTTTACCAGAGCTTGAGGAGTGCTTCGTTGTAGAGCAGAACTCTTGCTATACAGAGATCCTTCCTATGGATGAGTGTCACTAGGGATTTATCCTGAGGCTGAGGAGTTAACATTTCAGATGAGTATGAGGAACAAGGCAGAAGATTACCAAGATTACATGGTGGCACTTGACGTGTCTATGAGACCTTGCTGGGGACAACTGTAAGTTTGCCAAGAGGGACTGTGCCAATTATGAAAATAGAAAATGAATTAAAGCAAAGATGCTCTTAGAGCCCCAAAATGACTCTGGGGTGCCCATGAGCAACAGTGTGATTTGGGGCACAGGGTAACCACCATGTTGATGGTTTCTGGAGTTGTTGCCAGTCTAATGTTGACTTGTAAAAAAAAGCAGTTTTGGAAATATGCTGCTCTGAAGACTGATCTGTGATGAACGTTATACATCCTTTTTCTCGTGGTATCCTTTAGTTTTAAAGATTTGTGTGTGTGTGTGTGTATGGATGTTTTGCCTACATGTATATCTATACACCATGTGTGTGCCTAGTGCCAGAGGAGACCAGAAGAGGGTGTCAGATCCCCTGGGACTGGAGTTATAAATGGTGGTGTGTTCTAGAACTCAACTTAGGTCATCTGGAAGAGCAGCAAGCATTTGTTTTGTTTTTTGTTTTTTGTTTTCCAAGACAGGGTTTCTCTGTGTGGCCTTGGCTGTCCTTTAACTCAATCCACCTGCCTCTGCCTACCAAGTACTGGGAATAAAGGCATGTGCCACCTCTACCAGACCAACAGCCAAGTGCCCTTAACCACTGAGCCATCTCTTCAGCTGGCCTCTTTAATGACATTTTTCATGATAAAATTTTACCCCTTAATCTTCAAATGTATGTATACACAGGCTGCTTCCTAAAGACTTTGAACACACAAAAATATAGACATAGACACACACACACACACACACACACACACACACAGAGAAAGAGATAGAGACAGGGAGAGACAGAAAGACAGACTGACCTGGAACAGATTGCTATATATTAGTGCCATTGTTTAAACTGTCCTCATTTTTTGCTTTGTTAACGCCATCAAGCCAATCTACATACTTTGGAATCAAACGCTGTAAGAACTCAGCAAATATAGCTTATCAAGAACAAACATTCTCCAGCCCGAAGTATTTGCATGCTATCAGGTTATTGTAAGTTTATAGTATATGTTTTGTCTGTTTGTTTATGTAAGGAATGAACTGGGTTGCTTTTTGATGTTCTATTTTTAAAAAGCTTTTCTTTTAATGACCACTGACTTGCAATGGAAGGACCAGCAAATACATATATGTCTTAAAGACATAAATTACTTGTGTATCTGAAACACACATTTTACAGGTCTTTATATTTTAATTTACTCTTTTAAAAGTTCCTTCTAAGGGGTTGGAGAGATGGCTCGGAGGTTAAGAGAACCGACTGCTCTTCCAAAGGTCCTGAGTTCAATTCCCAGGCACCACATGGTGGTTCAGAACCATGTATAATGAGATCTGGAGCCCTCTTTCGGCCTGCAGGCATTCATGCAGGCAGAAACTGTGTACACTTAAAAAAAAAAAAAAAAAGTCCCTTCTGTTATCTACAAGAATGAAAGAACCACTTCCTCTATGCATAAAACTAAGACATTTTTCATAAGGTAGATAATGTAGGTGAATTTAGTTACTAAATGGTCATAGAATCTTGATGAAGTATTTGGAACAGAAAAGCTACTTTTCAAGGAATTCAGATATCAACAGGGGTTTGGCCAAACTTGTTTTTGGGGTTTTTTTTTGGGGGGGGGGGTGAGGAAGTCTCTTGGTTTTATAAAACGTAGTAGATTCATGAGAATGACAATCAAATGCATTTCCCTATAATATTGTAAGTGGAGATGGACTTCATAGCACACAGATCAATCCCCAACACATTCAAGAAGAGTGCAATACAACTGGACTGGTGGCGCAGGCCTGTCGTCCCAACTAACTGGGGTACCAAGACTAGGGGACTGGAAGTTCAAGGCCAGCCAGGGAAATTTCCTGAGACCCTGTCTTCAAATAGAAAGCAAAACAGTCAAGGAATATAACTCAAGTGCTGGAGCAGGGGTTCTCAACCTTCCTAAAGTCAAGGCCCTTTAAAACACTTCCTCAGGCTGTGGTGACCCCTACCATAGAATTACTTCTGTTGCTAATTTTGTTATTGTTATTAATTGTAAACATCTGATATGGGACCCTTGTGGGGGTTATGACCCACAGGTTGAGAACCACTATGCTAGCATGTTTGCCTAGCAGTTATAATGTTCTAGGTGTCCAATCCTGGGGGAGTAGGGCGTATACAACCACAAAAAAAAAAAAAAAAAAGAGAGAGAGAGAAGGGAATGGAAGGGAATGACCCATGACCCTGGTAGTAACATGTCGCAGTTCCAGCATGAAGAGGCTGAGGCAGGAAAACTGAGAGTCTAAAACCTGGGCTACCTATAAGACTCTGTTGAAAAAAGAAAGAAGGAAAGAAAAAAGGTGGGAAGAGAGAAAGAAGTGACAGCAGACATTATTTTGTTTGCCTTTCTGACCAATTTTGGCCTCCACTCTGGTATTCAAGCTACCCAAACGGGATCCTGATTGAAAACACGGTAAGAACTTAGTTTATAATGATGCTTTATATATAGCTATACACACACATATAAACAATTCTGAAGGCTAGAGAAGTTAACACCAAATCTTGGAGTCCTAGAGGTGCTACAAATTATACTGGATTCCAACCAGTGATTAAAGTTGAGGTAACAGCCTTTGGATTTGGCCTTAAGATTGTACTGGGGGAGGGGAGAGTATTTCAGCCAAGGGTAAAAGCTTCACATTCCATAATTAATAGTGGGTAAAACAAGACACTCCTGGATTAAATTAAATAAAATGAGAGCCGGACATGATGAGAAAGAAACCTCTAGAAGTCTACTATTCCCAGGTTGTTCACACTGGTACCAGGGTGGCAATCCCAGGGTCCTCTGTCATGGTGTCAGATTTTGACAGAGAAGGATGACCCACAGGAGCAGCCCTGCTGGGCTTGAGGGTTATTCAACACTTGGAACGAGCTTCGGATTAGTTCTTGGCTGAAGTCCACCTGGGCTCCCTTCACGAAGGCCAAGCTATCAGAGTCAACCACCACTCTTGCCCCACCCTGTTCAAATACCCTGAAAAAACAAGAGGAAAGCATTAATGACAAATATCACAAACACCAAGACCACAACACCCTGAGCCCATAGGTGTACATCCTGTTCTCCAATACATGGAATATTGCTTAGGACTTAGCAGGTGCAGACTGTACTTGAAGTAAAAAGATTCCACGTAAAACAGAAGGACTATTTAAGGACTTGGTCTGAAACTAGTCCAGCATTTCTCAACTGACTACCCAGTGGACCCTAAGTAAGTCAATGTTCTTCCTTAATTTTCAAACAAGAGGACAAATCTTACTGTATCCTCACAGTATGGGGATGGTGGTGGTATTAAGCATACTTAGACGCTTGGAAGTTTGGAATAAAAGCGCATCTTAAACTGGGGTCATTTTATCTTCTGATACAGCCTCTAGCGACCCATCCGTCTTCCTTGCCTGTCGTCGGGGTTAATAACTGTATCCAGTGAAAATTTGTATTGGAATCCGGAGCATCCACCTCCCTCTACTTGCAGCCTGAGGAATTCTGACCCTTCGGTGATTTCCAGAAGCCTCTGAAATTCAGGAAAGAGGATCAAAAATGCCAAGCAAGCGGAGATAACGGGGCAGGTGAATGGGAATTCTTCTAGCGCCCTCCTGGGCACCGCCGCCCCGCGTCCAGCCTCCTACCTGGACGCAGCTGTCTGTGAGGTGGATCTGTCCCTCGCCAGCCTCTGGAATGGAGGACGTTGTTTCCCAGCGGGTCAAAAGCCTGGGAAAGACGGCGAGGAGCCTGCGATGTGAAGAAGGAAGATGAGCCCAGGAAGCAAAGTGGCACCTGATGACCCTCTATGGTCACCTCGTACCCAAATCTGGCGACACCTTCATCTGAACTGCACCTCCCCCGTGAGCTTTAGTCTCCCATCTATGCTGAAGAGGCAGAGCCCAACACCCTTCCTAAGTGACGTTCCACCCTCGGTACCTTTCCCGGCGCCTAGGAAGGGCAGCCCTGACCGCCTCGGCAGTTAGGGACAAGGCCCTGGCGGCCGCCATCTTACTCCGCAAGCTCCGCCCCTAGCATGGTCCAAATCCCCGCCTTAGCCTGGGCTTCGGGAGAAGGGGAGACGGCAGGGGCGGGGTTACAGCTAGTCTCCGCCCCCAAGCGTGCCTATTGGATATAACGAGATAAGAGGGCTTTGATTGGCAGAGAATGCTTCCACTGCCGAAGCGGGGCGGTACTAATAGACCGGGGCGAACGCGAAGAAGAGCGAGTTCTCTGCAGGCCCTGCCTGCGAGCGAAAGAGATGGGCGGAGATAAAGGGCAAGCGGCCGACCAGGCCCGGGAGGCCGGGGCGGGGCGCGGGCGGGCCTTCGCTGATTACTGGTCACAAGTGGCCTGACCCAGCTCCACCCTCGGTCCGCCCGCACTAGTTTATCTTGTGACTTCCCTGGCTGCTTTCCCTTCCTAGATTGCAGAGCTTTCATACCCACGATGCGCTTCCTGACCGCCACGATCCTGCTGCTGGCGCTCGCCGCCGCCAGCCAGGCCGAGCCCCTGCACTTCAAGGACTGCGGTGAGCCCACTCTAGGAGACCCTCGGGGGTGGATTGGGAGGGTTCCTGGAACATGGATGCTCAGCCGGGTGGAATGGACTAGGTTGGGGCGGAAGGTACTACTAGCCTTGATGAAACTTAACCCCTCCATGCAACTTTGTCTCTCCTTGCAATTTGTGTTTTGGGATTATCTCAAACACTCTGAAAGCGAACCTTGTGCTGAATTTCTCTAAAGTTTCTTGGGTGAACATCAAGCCGGCATATTCTTGCAGCGTTCTAGGGCTTGGAGATTTCAATGGAAGGAGAATTGCGAATTCAAGGCTAGCCTGCGCTTATTGAGCCCTGTCTAAAAAAAGTAAACAAATAAAAGCAAAATATAAAACAATAGGGTAGACAGAGGGCCTGAATCCAATACGGACTGAGGGAATAGGCACGGAACTTCTTTTGATTTTATGCCTTGTATCGTCACTAGCCTTTCCCCCTTTGTTCGTTTGAAGTTTTCTCTTTGGTTGGGAGGGGGCTGAAGCAGCCCCCCTCTGTAGCCCAGTTTGACCTTTGAAATCCACGTCAATCCTGCTCTGGTCTTACAAGTGCCAGCCACCTCCCCACCCCACCCCATCCCCGCTAACAAGTCAAAAGGTAGTTCTCCTTCTCATAATATATTCTTTTACAAAGTAGTTTCGTTTGGCCTAGCGAATTTCATGATTCTTGATCCGTGTCTCCTATAACATTCTTATTTCTAGTGACATCTTATGACGCCTCCCTCCCAACGCTGCTCCTGGACTCTTTGTTGGAAAATGTAATAGAGGGTAGAAAGTCTGGGTTCTTCCAGTCATGCCTGTACAATTAATTGTGGGAGCAGTGCAGGGGGTGGAGGGTGGAAATGGCGGCAGTGATGGGTAAAAGACAAACTGATTTTGTAAAGTATGTGAGCAGGGGGAAACAGATCATAATGAAGCATTGAATTAAAGAGTAATTAGGACTGGAGAGACGGTTCAGTGGTTAAGAGCACCTACTGTTCCGGAGGATTAGAGTTCAATTCCGAGCACCTACACCAGTGGCTCACAACTGCTTGTACCCCAACTCAGGGGAAGACGCCTGCACTCCCAGGCACTGACACACTCACACACATCCCTAATTAAGGAGGTAGGGGTGGGAGTAGAAGGTGGACTAAAGTAAGCCTTTTGTAGTCACACAGCTGAATGAGGAACCAGGTTAAGTATGCTTCTTGGTAGCTAGTATCCAGTACTATTGAATAATAGTAACTACTCAATAAATATTTACTAAAAAAGGAAACAAGGGAATCAATACTGCCTCTAATATGATATTAAAAGTTCTGTTAAAGCAAAAGCAAAGGTGGGCGTGTGGAACTGGATTAACTAATAAGGACCACTGACTATTAATAGTTCACAGACGCCATTCACTAAACCAGGGGACTAGCTCGAAGTGGCTGTTTCTTTGGAGTACCTGTTTTCCCCCCTCTGTTAAACTTCTTAAATTTTTATTTTATTTTTAATGAGTGTGTATTCATGTGTACCCAAGCATGTGGTAGCCAGAGTCCAACCCTTCAGATGTCATCCTCAAGAACACTGCCCACTTCTTCCTCTTTGGCCAGGGTCGGGTGGGGGTGGGGGGGCTTTAAGTAGTTTAGACTGGCTAGCCCGGAAGCCTCTGTGCTCCTCCTGGGCCTACCTCTCCCAAGGTCAGGATTACATGTGTGTGCCACAAGTGGCATTTTTATATGCCTTAGGGGAATTAAACTCAGGTTTTCTGCTTGTAAGGCAAGCACTTTATCCACAGGGATATTACCCTCCCCTACCCCTCCTTTGTTAAACTGAGGACCAAGACTTGGATGAAGGCACTGTATTAATTTTATTAACTTCTTCACCATCAGTTTTACAGAAAAGGTAACTAAAGCACATAGACCAACTTGGCTAAGATCTTACAGCTGATAAGCAGGAGGAGGGTGATAAGTCTCTAGGAGCCACTTGGATTTTTTTTGTGTTTGTTTGTTTGTTTGTTTTTGAGATGGGGTTTCTCTGTGCAACAGAGCTCTGGCTGTCCAGGCAGCCTCAAACTCAGAGATCTGCCTGCCTCTTCCTTTTGGGTGGTAGGATTAAAGGCCCTTCCCTACTGCCCTGCAGAACTTCATTTTTTTTTTTGGTGGTGGTGGTTTTTGTTTGTTTGTTTTGAGACACCTTTGTAGACCAGGCTGAACTCACAAAGATTTGTCTGCCTGTACTTTGGGAGTGTTCATTTAGCATGCCTGGCTTTTTTTTTTTTTTTTTTTTTTTTTTTTTGGCAGGTTACACCTTGGAAGAACTCGTATTTTCATGTTGCATCCATCTATTTATTTATTTGTGTGTATGTATGCAGGAGGACACACATGTGTGCGACATACATGGTATGTGGAGGTCAGAGGACAACTTTCAGAAGTCAGTTCTCCCCTGGGAATTGAACTTAGGTTCTCAGCCTTGGTAGTGAGTACCTTTACTTGCTGAGCCAGCTTTCAGGCCTAGAGAGAACTTAAAGGAAAGGTTGTGTGTGTGTGTGTGTGTGTGTGTGTGTGTGTGTGTGTATGTGTATGTATGTACGTGCTTCCTTTTGCATTAGAAAATGCAATGTAAAAATGTCAGCACCCAGGTGAAAGATTTTGCATCCCATTCTATGCCCACCTTCTTCTGGAGTGAGATTGACCTTCTGGAGTGGGATTGACCTTCTGGAGTGGGATTGACCTTCTGGGGTGGGATTGGCCTTCTGCTGGGCTGGAATCACCTCAAGTGTAAAATAGAACCAAATAAAGTACTTATGCAGTGTTTGGAGTGGGAACTGAGGAGTGCGTTCTGTTGACATTTGAAGTCCGGGAACCTCTTGTCAGGGGGCAGGAGAAAAACCACACAAAGGAACTGTAAGTACCCTTTCCTCTGATCCTGTGAGATCATGTGACCCAGCTTTGAAGAAGCAGGTGGGACTGGGCACTGGAGTTCACTGGAACATCGATTTTCAATTTAGGGGCTGGTGTAAGACAGTGCTTCTCAAACTTGCAGAGGGTACTGAGAGGGTGTGCTGTGTGCAAGCAGGCTGGGAGATGGGGGATTGTACAGTGTTGTTTACAGGCCTCCACAGACTAGCACTGTGGCCTTAGAGGGAATTTGAAGAGTGCCTTCCAGCCTGAGGACAAGCCCCAGTAAGGAAGGTCAAGTTCGTTCACTCTGTCGTTTCTAGTTCTACCCCAACGGTTCTGAGCTAACCTGGTAACTACATAGCAGGCAGCGTGGCCTCAGCTTGTGATTTGCCTGCTCTCTGCTCTCTCCATTCTACTTTCAAGACAGCAAGAGTCTGTACTGTCTGTACTGTTGCAAACGTTATTTCTGTCCATGAAGTATATTTAAGGAGAGGCTTAGCTTTGGTGCGAGAGGAGGGCTTTGCTTACCCACCCAGGAGCAGCTGCTTTAGTTCACGCACAGAATCTAGACCTGATGGTAATTGTAATCAACAGCTTCAATGGCACCACTGTGTTCCAGATAAGTATCTAAAATCTGTAGATGTGCTGGCTCTCTACCCTTAGGGCAGCCCAGATGTTGAGTGTCTTGCCTTGAGGCTACACCGTGGGAAGTTGAGCTGGGAAGACTTCAAACCCAGGTGATGAGCCCTAGTCAGTTAGAGTATCATTAACCTACCCTGTCAGGGTCTTGAATTATCCTTTCTTTTTCTCAGCAGTGTTTTATATACATAAGTAGTATTTACAAGTTTATTATTTCCAGCAACTGTGCAGCCCGTAGCTTAGTCATTTTACTGGAGAGGACAGGAAATCTAGGGTCAAGCACATGGGTCCTGGAACTGTGGAGGAGTGTGAACAAGCCTGGGCTTCAGCCACCCCAAGCTAGGCTTAGCCACGTGGCTCAGATGCCATTTAAGGAGACATGTAAAAGGGGCCAGAGGTATGCAGTGGTTTAGGGCACTTCCTGCTCTTCCAGTGGAGTCAGATTCAGTTCCCAGGACCCTCATGGTGGCTTACACCCATCCATAACTCTAGTTCTAGGGGACCCAATGCCCTCTTCTGACCTCCATGGGTACTATGTATATATACATATGCACAGGCAAGGGGTTCACACACATAAACCGTAAAAAAAAAAATTTTTTTTAAGAGCAAGTACTCCTGAAAAGCTGAGAAAGATTTATTCAGTGTGTCCACATTGGGAAGAAGAATGTACAAAGAAACCACCAGTCTTCGGCATGGATAGGAAGTTCATATTTAAATAGAGGGCAGAAATAGGAATAATAAGGTAGTCAGCTCGGGTCTAACCTACGAGGTGGACTAACAAGTTGTCAGAACTGTATGAAGTCTCTTCCTTGGGAGCAGGTCTCTCCTCTGGCTAGTACCAAGGTTTCACCTCCCCCAACAAGACATGGGGTTTATTGTTTCAGTAGTCTTATAGGGTAGTATTCCTTTAAAATACCTTCTCTTCTGCTAGAATGGGTATTATTTATTTATATATTTATATATTTGTCTGTTTGTTTGAAACAAAGATGGTCTCAGCGGAGTACTGACTGACCTGTAGTACCTCGCCTAGCCAGGGCCCTAAGTGTTTTTTTGGGAACTGTAAAGATCCTGACCTCTGTCTCCCCTCTCCTCTGCTTGGTTCTGGGAAAAGTCAAAGTTTAATGACCTGGTCAAGACTTGACTTAGAGCACGAGCACTCTGTGACACTCTGGAGCCTCTTGGATTCCGCCCTCGCCCTCTGAGAGCATGACTAACAGGAAGGCAGAAGTCCTCTGGAGGACTTTAGATTTAAGGGAGGTTCCTCCGGCTGTAGAGGGAACCGTTTCTTCCTTTTAGGGCCATTCTTCCACTGGGGGTTGAGATGGTGGTTCCTCTTACTTTCCATAAGTCAGCGGGCTGTGTGTGTGCCACCAACCTAAAAAGCTAAGTTTGACTCTCTAACCCAGACCACTCATACAACTACCATGTACAGGTGGGGCCTTCAAGCTAGAAGAGGCCTGCGAGCTGGCTCAGCCGCTCAGGGCCAGTGTTACCAGGGTGTTCTGAGTTCAATCCCAGGGCCTTCGAGGTTGAAGGAGAGCAGGGACCCTGAAGATTGTCCAGTGCCCCTAACCACTGCACCACCCTCCACCCAGAGCCTCTGCTTTTGAATTCTGCCAGGCTTGCTAACAAAGACCTGCTTACATTTTTGAAGAACTTACTGGAAAGATGACCTTCTCTTTGAATGCAAGAGAGAGGTCTACAGGGTGGCTCGGTGGATAAAGACTGAAGACCTATTTGGTAGAAGACCACCAAGACGGAAGGCCTATTTGGTAGAAGAGAGAAGAGAGCCAGTTTTGGTTGTTTGGTTGGTTTGGTTTGGTTTGGTTTTTTCAGATGGGGTTTCTCTGTGTATTCTAGGCTGTCCTGGAACTCATTCTGTAGACAAGGCTGACCAGAACTCACAAGACTTATGAGTTATTATGCCTGCCTCTGCCTTGCAAATGCTGGGATTAAAGGTGTGAGCCACCATGCCTGGCTTTTTTTTTTTTTTTTAAATACAGTATTGTGTGACTATGGTCTCGCTATACTTAATGTGACAAATATTGATATGATCCCGCACTCTGCCTTGCCCCTGGGGTGTGAGAATGTCACTTGTACCCTATCCTGCCATTGGGTGCTGGGCTTGTGGGAAGCGCTCATTGTGTAAGATGTAGACCTCAGCCCTAGTGAGAAGCGGCACAGGCTGAAGCAGACACTGGGGTTCTCTGACTCCCAGACATCCAGACACCACTGGAAATGGAATGGGGGAGTTGGGAATGCAGAGGCCCTGCAGGCTGAGGAAAATGAGCCATGGGCGTGGAGGAAGTGGGCAGCTTAGCTTAGTGGAAACGGGTCTATGATTGCAGAGGGGGCTTCCAAGGGAGACTTAGTGCTGCTCTGTAGACAGAGTGGTTACTGAGAGAGAGACACAGTCCATGCTTATCCATACTGTTTATTGACTTTTCGTTGTGGAAGATGGCTACATACCACTTCCTCGGGGTGGATCTGAGATTAAATACCTTTTTCAGGAAGGAATGTCTGAGAAGGGAAGATTATTGGCTAAACCCTCAGGGCCTCATTAGCATAGAGAACTCTGTTCTGATCTGTGAGACCATTACTCACATTCCTGTGTGAGGAGTGTGGTCAGTTCCAGGCCAGGAATCTTGGCAGGGGGCAGGGAGTTGCCTACCATTCTCAGATGGGTGCTGGGGTCTCTGAACCTACTCAGCCTTACCAAGTTTCTTGGCACTACCCCACATATTGGTTTTCTCTTTGCCAAAAATTCAACTAGCCTTTTATTCAGTTGATAGGATTGGTTTTAACAGTATGGAGATTCTCCAGTTGCATGTGTATGTGTGTGTATGTGTGTGTGGGGGGGTGTATAATGTATGTGGAAGTGTGCACATGTAGAGCTCAGAGGACAACCTCAGGTATGGGTCCTTGCCTTCTGCCTTGTTAGAAATAGGATCTTGTTGCCACTGTGCTGGCTGCACCCTGCAGGCCAGCTGACTGGAAAGCTCACAGGGTTTTCCTCTCTCTGCCTCCATCTCTCTGTAAGCCCAGGAGTTTCGAGTGCACACTACCGTACTCAGCTTCACGAGGATTCAAACTCAGGCCCTCACACTGTGGAGCAAGCGCTTCACCGCCTGAGCCATCCACCTGGTCCCGAATTCTTGGTTCTAATTGGGCATTGTCTTAAAGAGTTCATCTCAGGAAAGCAGAAGCATCTCAAGTACATTGAGAGAGGAACATACTTTCCATGAGGCACCGGGCAGCCTCGGGTCTGTAGTTTTCCTCCTAGTCAAACTCTTTTTTTTTTTTTTTCAGGCTCTACAGTAGGAGTTATAAAGGAAGTGAATGTGAGCCCGTGTCCCACCCAGCCCTGTCTGCTGCACAAAGGCCAGTCCTACAGTGTCAACGTCACCTTTACTAGCAGTGAGTAGATGTGGTATCTACCGCCAATTCATGCTGATCTGTAATATAAATGTCTGTGAGGCATAGGAATGAACATAGAAACATAGGGGACAAGTCTACACAAGGTGGAATTCGCTATTTTCTCAGACAGGACGGACTCTAGGTCCGTAATTCTCCATTGTCACGTTCTGAAAGGAAACCTGGAGGAATTGATGGAAGGAAGCATGTTCAACTTACAATTCTGGCTAGATGTGAGAAGAGGAAAAAAAAATCCTGTAATAGTTTCACAACATATAAAAAAGATGACGCCAAAGCTAGGAAATGTGCAGCCTTGGCTATGAGTCAGAAGTACTTGAGAGTTCCTCTCTGATGCCAGGGTGGTTGTGTGATGTCTCACAGCAGGAAACCCTTAGGGCCACACTGTCCTCAAACACCCTTCATGCACTGGGCTCTGCTGTATCCAGTGCGGCCTGGTCCTGGAGCCTGACTGAGCCGGCATGGGAGCGATGACTGTGCACTGGAGTGGTACCTAGAGAGTTTATGGGAGAGGTTAGCTCTACACATTCTCTCCAGGCTTCCCTGCTTCTGCAGGCTTCCACAGGTCTCACCAGTGACTGCCAGACCCCTTTAAAGCAAACAGCTTGATCCTGCTGTGGCCACAGTTAGAGAAAGCCGAATGGCGCTTTGCCTGATGTGGCCCGTAATGCACATGGGACTCTCAGAGGGCCATCAGCTGACGATAGAATGGAAGTAATTTACATTATGATTCGTTGAAACTTAATTCTACAAACTTCAAAACTCCTACATAACGTTCATTCCAGCCAGGCTGTGGGGGAAGAGTCGTGAGCCCGAGAGCAGCCTCTTATTCTAGGTAATTCCAGTCTAGATGAAGCTACATAGATTTATCTCAGTGGTTCTCAGCCTTCCCGATGCTCTGGCCCTTTAATACAGTTCCTCATGTTGTGGTGACCCCTAGCCACAAAATTGCTTTTGTTGCTATGTCACAACTGTAATTTGGCTCCTGTTATGAGTCCTGATAAGTGGGGTATCTGATACGTGGGTCAAGCCCCACAGGTTGAGAACTGCTGCCTTATCTCAAGAGAAAGGATAACGTGGAGTGGCTTTGTGGGTAAAGGCACTTGTCACCAAGCTGGATGGCTTAAGTTCAATCCTGAGAACCCATACAGTAAAAGGAAAGAACTGCTTCCTTCAAGTGGTTCTCTGATCTCCACTTGTGCATTGTGTCACACTCAAGACACGCCCCCCCCAATACACACACCCGCGCGGGGTGGGGGTGGGGGATAGGAGTGCACCATAGAGAGATGACTCTGCAGTTGAGAGAGCTTGCTGCCCTTGAAGAAGACCTCAATTGGATTTCCAGCGCCCACATGGCAAATCACCTGCAACTCCAGCTCCGGGGGATCCAGTGCCCTCCCCTGGCTGGCACATGCGCGCACCGTATGTGTGCATCCACACAGACACATAAACATAAATGATGATACATTTTTTTAAAAAATTAAGAATCTAGACAAGTGTAAAACGCTTATTTCTGGAGACAGCGGCTGCCTTGAAGCCTTCCTTTGCTTACTCTCCTGTGAGCTAGGTAGGACTCAGTTCTTAGCACTGTTGGCTTCCAAGCTCAAAGAATGAGCACTCTGTTTTCCTTCCTCATATGCCCTATCCCCTCTGTTTAAGAAAAAAAGGTCTGGAGTCTGGGGAGAGGTTGGTATGTCAGACTGGCTACATACACTTGAAGACGTGAGTTTAGATCCCAGCACCTACATAAAAGGCCAGGTGTGGTCACACACATGCCTGGAACTCAGTGCTGCGAGTGGCAGAGGCTGGAGGGTTGGAAAGATGAATGGAACCAGCCTGTTCCAGGTGTGGAGTGCCTCACGCAGGGTTTCTCTTGCTGCAGTAAGTCACCATGACCAAAAAGCAAGTTGGTTTGGTAGCAATGGCAGTTTTAGGTATAGAGAAACCTTTAGTGGTGGTAATGGCTTCGGTGGTGGCAGTGCTGTGTATGATGGCAGTGGGGATGGCTATAATGGATTTGGAAGCCATTTTGGAGGCAGTGGACACAGCGGCAGTTTTGATAGTTACTGTAACCCATCTTCAGATGTTGGGCCTGTGATGGGAGGAAGCTCTGGTGCCTGTGGTGGTAAGATGGTGCTCAACTAAACCACAAGACCAAGCTACCAGTGCTGGTGGTAGCAGCAGCAGTAGCTGTCTGTGGCAGAAGGTTCCAGTTACTACCAGGAGACAAAGCTTAGCAGGAGAGGAGAGTCAGGGAAGTGACACAGAAGCCTCAGGCTATAACAGTTATCACCTCAGCAAAACACAGTGGTGGTGGCCGGGCCGCTGAGAAGAAGACGCTTTAGACATTTCTCGTGTGTCTGAGCTGTTTGTGTGACTAATTGTGGAAGAAGTTGTTTTAGCTTCTGTTCTGTGGAGAGCAGAACACATTCCAGTAATGGGAGCGGGGGTTATTTTGTTCTGTTTTATAATTGTTATTGTGTCTTTGGGTTTTTTTTTTAGTTTTTATTTTTAGATTTATTTTATAGTTTTTGCATGTAGATTTAGCCCATGCATGCTCTCAAGGGTCAGGAGGGGCTGATGGATACCCTAGAATTGGAGTTACGGGTGGTTGTAAGCCGCCGTGTAGGTGCTGAGAGCTGAGCCCTGGTCCTCTGGAAGAGCAACACGCCTTCTTCCCTGCCAAGCTTACTCTCGTTGCCCCTCCCCAGTGAAGGGTTGTAACGTACAGTTTTGTTGAGCCGAGTTGTTGACTATGAGGAGTAATGGTCTGATCATGATGCTGAGAAACATGTCTTTTACAAACTAAAATTAAGAGTTCCTGGGAATGACTTGGCAGGTAGAGATGTCTGTTGCCAAGCCTGGAGCTGGACCCCAGAATCCACACGGTAGAAGGAGAAATCTGACTCCTCAGTCTTGTCCTCTGACCTCTGTACATACACATCCCCCACTGACCAAATGTAATTTAGTTGTTATTGTTGATATCATTTAGAAATTAAACAAATGAAACCCAGCCAATACCCTAGATCTCCAAAATGGCCTAACAATGTATACTAGAGGCTTGGGGATACAGGTCTGGGCCCAGCAGTCTGACAGGGGAGGCTCAGCCTTGTCCTCAGCATGCTGATTAAAAAGAGTGAAAAGTTGAGAGAGGAAACTGAATGTAGTCACACTGGGGAGAGGAACAAATCCAGAGGCTCGGTGAGCTCTTCCGGGTCACTGACAAGGCTTAGGTTTAAATGGAAGGCAAGAGGTCAAGGTGTTAATGTATCTTTAGCTCAGCTCCTGGCCTGTCTCCAAGTTGTCAGATCCTTGTGACCTTCCTACATGGCTAGTTCCTTCTTTTGCTGGTACCAGGACTCCAGCTTTGCCTCTTCCTCCAGTGTGGAATTCCAAGGGGAATACCAGTTCCTTGGGGCACATTGTTTCTATAGCCTGATAGTCAGAGGAGGGAGCACAGTGGTCTCTTTAGAATGCCTTCACTCCTGCCTGAGAATTGTAATAACTGGCTGCCCTAATCTAATAATACTTTTATCCCTTCTGCTTATCTTGTAGTGTGGAGGCTAGAGAAATGAACTTCTTTTTTAATCTTACACGGTATCTAAAGGATTACCTGCCACTGCTGTGCTAGACCATGGTATTTAAAACACGCTGACAGAAGTCAGTGGTCCTGGGAGATAAGATTGATTGTCCCAGTAGCCTGACTCCCTTAATGGAGAGCAAGGAAAGACACCAGTGTCCTTCATCGTGTGCACAGGGCTGGGTGCTAAACGTGACACGTGGGGATGGAGACACTACAGATGGGGGACTCTGAACGGGCGAAGCCATTCCTGCATTTGATTATGTATTTAACGACTTGACTTAGAATTCACAAATACACAACTGCCTTTCCGTCTGACTCCCTGTCTCCCTAGGCACTCAGTCCCAGAACAGCACGGCCTTGGTCCACGGTATCCTGGCAGGGATCCCAGTCTCCTTCCCTATTCCTGAGCCTGACGGTTGTAAGTGTGGAATCAGCTGCCCCATCCAGAAAGACAAGGTCTACAGCTATCTGAATAAGCTTCCGGTGAAGAGTGAATACCCCTCTGTAAGTGACATGGTGGTTGAGGACACCGGGGACCCTGGGCCTGGGTCAGACTTCCCGAGGCTGAAGCAGAGACTGGGGCAAAGGGCCTTTCATTCCTGGTGGAGCTGAAAAGGCCTGAGGGACAGGACATGGGTTGAGGGACCCAAGGGTGCCATTTTTATAGCCCTACCCTCACTCCCTTCCTGTGTAGTGGTGCTATTATTTCTGACTTACAAGTGAAGGATTTTAAGCCTCTGACATTATATAATACAGAGCCCAAGTTCACTTTCGCAAGAAGTCTTAGCTCCTAGATTTAGAGGTGAGTCTCTTCAGTCATAGCCTGTGTAGTACTGAAAGGTCTTCTCCAGGTAACATAGTTAAAGGTCTAAGTTATCTTGGCAGCTCTCAGGATCCTGGCCTCTCCTCCGTACTCTTGATGAAAGAGCAGGAGCCCTTAGCAGCACCTCAGGGTTTGGTGGAGTGATGCGCCCCTCCACCCACAATCTGCCTTTACCTACTCCTTCTAGCAGGTAGTGTGTCCCCTAGGTAGGGATCATGATAAAAATGGAGGGCATAAAGCAATTGCTTTTTCCCCCATAAATAAAGGGTGACTTCATTGTTTTGTTTTGTTCTAGAATTGTTTGTGTTAAGACAAGATCTCACTTGGTAGCCCAGGTTGGTTGACCTTGAACTCAAGGCCATTCTTCTGCCTCAACCTCCCAAATTCTGGAATTACAGACATACACCACTAATCTTGACAGGTGTTACTTGACGGGTGGTGGTGGCGTACACCTTTAATCCCAGCACTTGGGAGGCAAAGACAGGCGGATTTCTGAGTTCAAGGACAGCCAGGGCTACACAGAGAGACCCTGTCTCGAAAAACAAAAAAAAAAAGCCAAGTAGAACCCAGATGTAATCTTTTCTAGAAAAGGGAAGTAATTAGCAGACATTCTAGAAAAGTAAAATATCAATAGTCTTTAAGACAATGGTTCTCAACCCTTTTAAGGGTTGGATGACCCTTTAACAAGGGTCATCTAAGACCATCGGAAACACAGATACTACATGATTCTTCATGGCAGCAAAATTACAGTTATGAAGTAGCAAGGAAAATAATTTTCTGGTTGGAGGTCACCACAACATGAGGAACTGTATTAAAAGGTCGCAGTGTTAGGAAGGTTGGGAACCACTGGTTTAAGGGTTGTTGGAGACCCTAAAGGTTTGTAGATGGCTGGTTCACAGCCTCAGCATGCAGAGATCTGTCCGAGCCTGATTCACTGAAGGTACTTTGTATTTAGTTTGAAAACCTAAACTATTAGTTTAAACACCAAACATGCACAATGTATGTTAGTTAAAACAGTAACGTACACAAGTCTTGAAAACAAAGCCAAGTTTTCAAGAATGTAGATGTTATATTGTCCTTCACGTGTTACATTGTGAAGATAGTTTGAGTGATGATGGAGGGCAAACCACCTCCTATCCCTTCTCCGGGGGAGTGGCTGGAGTGCTCAAGTTAGAGAGGAACCATGATGAAAATCAAGGAAGTAAGGTGAGTGCTTTTCCCCTATAAATAAAGAGCTACTTGGTTAGAATTAGAAGTGGGGGCTGGAGAGATGCTCTTCAAGGGGACCAAAGTTAGTACCCAGCTGCCCCTCGAAACTCTGTAACTCCAATTCTGGGGGGGGGTGGGGGTCAATGCCCTCTTCTGGTCTACTTGGGCACTGCATGCACATAGTGCTCTTAAATACTTTCTGACAAAACACTCATACATACCACAGGTCCTAGTGGCTCATTAAATCTTACTTAAAAAAAAAAAGCTGTCGGTTGGTGAGCACCTTTAACCCCACGGCTTAGCAGGCAGATCTCAGTTCAAGGCCAGCCAGTGATGCATAGTGAGATTGGCTAAAAAAAAAAAAAAACCTACAAAATTAGAAGGGACAATGGCTTACACTTCCAACACATAGAAGGCTCAGGCAGGAGGATCACTATAGGCTGAAGGTCAGCCTAAGCTATTTTGTGAATTCTAGAGGTCCAGGCTAATCTGGGATGAAGAAGTGAAACTATGTCTTAAGAAACAAAGTGCCGCCGGGCGGTGGTGGCGCACGCCTTTAATCCCAGCACTTGGGAGGCAGAGGCAGGCAGATTTCTGAGTTCGAGGCCAGCCTGGTCTACAGAGTGAGTTCCAGGACAGCCAGGGCTATACAGAGAAACCCTGTCTCGAAAGACAAGAAAGAGGGGGGGGGGGGCGAGAGAGAGAGAGAGAGAACCAACAACAGCACAGCTCATAGCTTCAGTGTAGCGAGTCTAGGTGGCAGTCTCAAAGGCAGGCGAGATGATCAGAAATCAGCTTAAGACTTGTCCATGGTGGTGCTGTAATCCTAGCAGTAAGAAAGGTGGGGCAGGAGCATTTAAATCAGCCTGGGCTGTGTGGTGAGTTCCAAGTCAGTCTGGGCTTTGAGATGAGAACCTGTGTTAGAAGAAAAAAATAGTTTAAGGAAGTTAAATGAAACTCTTGTTTCCAGGGTGGTTATCCTTGAAATTATACAGTTACACGTGTCTTTGGACCAGTGTTTCTCAACTTTCCCAATGCTTCCACCCCCAGCCAGCAAATTATTTTCATTGCTACTTCATAACTGTAATTTTGCTACTGCTGTGAATTGTAATGTAAATATTTGTGTTTTCCCTTGGTCTTGGGTGACCCCTATGAAAGAGTCATACAATTCCCCAAGAGGTCATGACCCACAAGCTGAGGACCACTGCTTTGGACCAGCCTTGTGCTCGCCCATTTCTATTTCTAGCTAACAAGAGAGTTTACTTGCACCGAGGAATCTAAGAGCTATTACTTTCTGTTCTCGCAGTTCAAGTGGAAAAGTTTATAGCAGTTTGCCAAATAAGTGAAAAGCTACTTAAATTTAAAATTATCATTTTTTTTTTTTTTTTTTTTGGTTTTTCGAGACAGGGTTTCTCTGTGTAGAAGAACCAGGCTGGCCTCGAACTCAGAAATCCGCCTGCCTCTGCCTCCCAAGTGCTGGGATTAAAGACGTGGACTACTACCGCCCGGCTTTTTTTCTTTTTTTCTTTTCTTTTTTTTTTTTTTTTTTTTTGGTAAAATTATCATTCTTATAATATTCTATTTATATACTTCTGATCTAAGAATGAAACCCAGTAATGTATACCTGTAATCTCAGCACTCAGGAGGCAGAGACAGGAGAACCAGAAATTTAGGACTAGCCTGAGCTACATAGCAAGTACTAGATCACCTAAAGCTGTGTAACAAAACTCTGTTTTAACAAAGGGGGTGGGGGAGGAAAGAAAAGATAAGGATTTTAGAATTACATTTGATAATCAGGTATGGTGGTCCACCTATAATCCAAATATTCAAGAGGCTTAAGTAGGGGGATTACCACAAATTTAAGGCCATGCTACATAGTAAATTCAAAACTAATCTAAGTTAGCCAAGAAACAAAACTGTATCTTTTAAAAAGAAAACAGAAAGGAGGAGCTAGAGAGATGGCTGAGTGGCTAAGAGCACTAACTGCTCATGTAGAGGACCCAGGTTTGATTCCCAGCTCCAAGAGGCAGCTCACAATCATCTCCAGTACCAGGGAATCTGATGCCTTTTTCTGCCCTCTGTGGGTATCAGGGACACAAGTGGGGCACATACATACACATTCAGACAAACATACATACACATAAATGTTTTTTAAAAATGTAAGCAGGAAAGAAGAGGGAGAGAGAAATACTACACTTGAAAGATTACATTCATAAACTGAGCTAGGTTGGATGATACCACTGGATAACATGGTTCACTCTTCTGAGCTTAAGATCACAGGTAGTGGGCTATCCTAATCTGGCTTCAAGATGATACACAGGACTTAAAAAGAAAGAATCAGAATTGAAAGTGCACACTTAGTTAATCATGGATAAAAATCAGGTTCCGGTTTCATTTTTCCCAATTCCTTTTCTTTTTTCCAGTTAAAACTGGTGGTGGAATGGAAACTTCAAGATGACAAAAAGAACAACCTCTTCTGCTGGGAGATCCCCGTAGAGATCACAGGCTAGGCTCTTTGACTGCCTGTGTCTGTGTGGGGCCGTGGACTGAGGGAGGAGAAGAAACAGAAGTCAGACCTGAAATGGAATCAGTGCCATAAGAGGAACAGTTTCAAGAATGCTGTTTTATGCCTTTCAACCTCCAAAAAAGTACCTGCAACCCTTCTGCTCCTGAGAGCTCAGAGCCATCATCCCCGGGATAGCCTTTGTGGAGGCTTCAGGAGGGAAAAGGGAAACTGGAGAGATTAGATTAGTGTTTACTGTTGGCTGATGGTCGGCAGATCCCACCAGACAGTACAGGATGGGGTTGCTTAGGGATATCAGATAACTTGACCCAGGGCTATTGATCCACTGTGAAGGATGGCTTCCCAGAGTCTTCTGGCTGGCCGGGGGTGTTACCTCTCCTGTTTCTAAGTGCCTTCTGAGTCCCGAGCACCTGGCTTGTCAGTCTGATGAGTCTCCATGGTACCCTCAGCCCCAGTGCTTCAACAACGACCTGCGCTCTGCGGTGTCCAGAGACCGCCTGAGGGGAGGTCTGCTGCAGACATTTAGCTCTGAGTGGCTGCTTCCTTGTGGTTAGCTCTTGTTCTTCGGTAGTTTTCATTAAAGCCAGTACTTGATTGCAGGTGCTTGCTTTTGTTTTTTAACAGTATCTGTCTATATCCTCTCTGCACGTGAGACAGCGCCTCCTGATAAATTCTAACTTGCCGCTCTTGTGTTTGTGTTCAGTCTGTGGTTGCTTACTTCTTCAGATGGCAGTCTCCTAGGTCCATAGCAGGAAGGCACCCAGTTCCGAAGCTCTAGAGAAGGCAGGACTCACAGACGCTGCCTTTTTCCTCATTTGTATCTTTTTACCAGCTAGACCTTCTCCATAGAAAGTGGCCTTGTTCTGCGTTGCTGCACTTACACAGCCAAGCGTGCTTGAAGCAGCAAACCCTGCCTAGTGAATAGGAGGCATGGTGACTGGAGCATCCCATGCCTGATGGGGAGGCCTAGAAAGGAAAGGGAAGAAGAGGCAGAGGCTCCACGGAGGCAGGAGGGATACGAGTTCCAAGCCAGTCCGAGCAGCATACTGTGGTCCTGCTTAAATAAATTGCCCAACCCTGAGAGACAGAGGGGTCATGAGTTCCACACTAGCCTGAACTGTGTGTACCTAACCCCCCCCCCCGACTCATAATCTCAGCACTAGAAGGCAGAGAGGCATGAGAATTGCTACAAGTTTGAGACCAACCCCACCTACAAAATGAATTCAAGACCAGCCTGGGCTAAATGAGATCTAGTCTCAAGGGGAGGGAGGGAGGGAGGGAGGAAGGAAGGAAGGAAGAGAGAGAGAACATCATAGCAGATAATTGTTTCGTTGATTAAATCTTGAAATGACAGATATGGTCATGGATCATTGTTGTAGGGAATAGACACACTATTTTTGAGATGAGGTCTGATATATCTCAGGCTGGCTTTGAACTTGCCATGTATCAGAACCTTGCCTTTCTGATCCTCCTGTCTCTACCTCAAGTGCTGGGATTGCCAGTGTATGCTCTCCCCACCCACACACGTAGGATCAGAATAGCACTGGATCCTGGCGTTTCTTCACCTGTGGGTTTCCCAGGCAAGCCACCAGGGGGCAGCAATGGGTCAGTAATGAAGTTCTTACGGGAGACCAGTTCACCCACTGTACTATGTCCTTTGTGTATTCTTTCACACTAAGCCCACCCTGTCTTCCCATGCAGACAATATATGAGTCAGATTCATGTGAATTCCAAATGTAGTTACCTGCTGAGGTCATTGCTTCCAACTGCCCGTGGTTAAATTTTGGTTCCTCCAATTATTCAGCTGTGAATGTGAGCTGTAAGTGATTCCATCTCTCCGTGCTTCAATTCTGATTTTCCTAACTCATTGACCAGGGACAATGGTAGCACAGTGTGAAGTGAAATGAGGCATGTAAAACACTTCCATGAGTCAGGGCGTGTAGTATGCGCGCTGTCGGTGTGAGCCATTGTGCTAGGCTGCTCTTTTTGTCTAGAAACAGGAAAATCCAGAGGCTCAGTCTGATGTGTGGTAATGTGTCTTCCTCAGAAACATAGCTATCGTCTCTGTGTGGGAGCTTGCTGAGGGGCCAGGCGAAGCTCACTTTTGTGTTTGCTGACTCCCTGTTCCCAAAAGATTATTCTTGCCTTTTTAGCTCTGTAGCAACTAAAGCAGCTCCCAAACCCCAAAAAAATTAGTGGGGGAGAGAGGTCGGGGAAGCTCTATTAGTGTCCTTGTGTCCTAATCAGAGCTTGAGGTGACCCAACAGCTTAGAACTGTTTGCCTACCAGTCACCAGGAGGCTCAGTGGAGCCTGCAGTTATGACATAGGTAGACTCCCGTGGAAGGATTAATTTGAAAGGTCATCCCTACAGAAAGTTCACCGTCATTAACACAGAAGCCTTGAATCCTAAGCATACAAAGGGTTCTGTACTTTCCAGTGCTGGTCTGAGACCTGTGCAAGCCTTGAGATCTGAGGCAGGCAAATCTCAAGACCCCCATCCTGGTCTGATCTTCATGCTAATAAAAATCAGTGGGTGGAGTAATTTCAGATCCTGAGTGCTTGATTTTGAGGCGTGTGTGTGTGTGTGTGCGCGCGCGTGTGTGTTAAGAAACAATGAGGGCTGAAGATAATATGACTTAATGGGTAAAAATGGTTGCCAAACAAGTGTGAGAACCTGTCCTTTAATCCCCGGAACATACTAAAAAAGCTAGATATGGGGCTGAAGAAATGGTTAAGTATATTGGCTGCTCTTCCAGGGGACTGGTGTTCAGTCTTCAGCACCCACATGATGGCTCATAGTTCTTTGTAACTGCACTTCCAGCGGATCAGACACCCTCTTCAGACACTACACATGATACATGGGCTTATTTGGGGCTGGAGAATGGGAGCTGTGGCAAAGCAAAAGTGGGGTAAAGGTATGTCCAACCCCTGGAAATCTCATCCTGAGATTGGCAGGTAAGATCACTGGCCCCCTACTCTGGGCCTTCGAGTCCTGGAGCATAAAACACCGGCACTTTTGCCCCCTGAAGGAGACTACATAGCCAAGTAGCTGGGTTAAGCTTCCTCTCCCCTTACAAGGTCATGTCCAGCAGCAGCTGGAATTCCTCCTTATGTAAATGAGACATCCCCAGAGCTCTGCCCCAGGCCAATGATCTACACCCACTCCAAAAGCCCCTACCCACCCCCAAAGGTTGAAGTAGCCTTTGTTCCCCCCAATTAGAGCTGTCTCACTGAAGCTGTCTCCCAAGAGTCTGCTCTTGCTGCACTCAACAGCTGCCTGTTCTGAAGGCACTCTGCTCACCCTGAGCTGGGCAGAGACGTAGAACCTGAACAGCAGACTTCCATGCAGGCAAAACACCCATACACCTAAAATAAATAAGATTGGGAGGAGGGGAAAACCGTCTTTGAAAAAAAGCTGATGCATCAGCTTGCCTGCTGTATGGGGTGGCATAACAAGTTCCTGTCTTAAACTTGGAGTGACATCCAAGGTGGCATCGCCATACAAGGAAATGACAAACTGATATCCTCACCAAATGCACACTAATAAGTAATTATCTGAGCATGGCAGCAAATGTCTGTGGTCCTAGCATTAGGCCGTAAAGGCTGGAGGATAAATTTAAGGTCTTCCTTGGCTACGTATCAAGTTCAAGGCCTGAGATCTTGCCTAAGGAAGGACAGTGGGAAGGAAAGAAGGAAGGAATATGACCATGATTCACACAGACTGATAAAGTGTGGTCCCTGAGAACACCCCAGGCATAGGAAAGGATCCAAGTGGGGGAGGCCAAGTAAAGGAAGATGGCCTTGGATTACCATTTCCTTTAGAGACTCCAAGAACAGTGCTCCCACAACGGGTTGGTTTAGGGACAACGTTGTGCTATCTAGGAACAACACTGCCACAGAGTCAATAGGGTGTCATTCGAAGTAAGTGCTTCCCACATAGGCGCCCTGAGGGAAAAGAGAACCAGGAAAAGAGATTCGTGTGTGTGTGTGTGTGTGTGTGTGTGTGATGCTGAAAAACCTGGATGCTCAGTGGTGTGTGTTGGGAATGTGGACAGCCAGTGCTGTGTGATTCCAGGTAGAAAGTGGTTGTGGGTCCCCCAAATATTGCCTGAAAGTCTTGAGAGGAGTTTCCTCTCCAGAGGAGCCCTGGGCCCAACCCTCAGCTTATAAACTGAATTCGATTCACTTACAGCTGTCAGTTGACTAGCAACTAGATGGTCTGAGTGTTCGTTGCTATGGAAACAGCTAAAAGGCCCATTGCCATAGGAACCTACCATGTTCTCCAGACCAGGGATTTGGTTGCTGAAAAGACCCGGAGGAGTCGAGGAGCTTGCATAAGTGAGGGTCCCACCAGAGAATGAATGACATGTGTGAGAGGCCAGATCTCCCAGTGTCCCTGCCCTGTCTGCTCATTGCCCTCAGTGGTCACAGAGCACAAGTATTTGTCCCTGTGGACAGTAAAGGCATAGATTCTGGAACAGGCTTGGCATGCCAGCTTTACCACCCTCCTCTCCAGGGTCTCTGAGAGGAAAAATATTGTGCTGTCTCTGGCAGGCCCCTCTCCACAAACCATATGCCTCAGCAAAGCAGCCAGCAGGTGAAGGGATCAGCTTAACTCTGACTGCCAGAGGGTCAGGCCACTGAGGAACTTGGCAGGCAAAACAGATGGCTGCTGGCCTTGAACGCGGCAGAGAAACTGGATGTACCAGATCAGAAAGCAGAAGGGCAGGCCAGCTGCAGCAGTCTTCTCAGTGTGAGAGAAACACCACACTGCTTCCTGCACCCCGTGCACTCCGTTCCTCTGTCAGGCAGATCAAAGTATAAAATTCATGACTTGATGAGGGTTCCTCAGTGTATCCGAGCAATGGATGGTCACAAGGTTCTTGTGTTTCTCACCCAAAGGAAGTGACTCTTAAATCACTGGTTAGTGGCAAGGGAGAACAAAGGGAAAGCTTCCTAGTGGCTGTGCCATTAACCACTGTTAGAGACCGAAGGGATCCAACTAGATTCTCTCCAGGTCTCTGCAAGCATGGATCGCTTGTAGTTCACTGGGATCCTAAGGTGATGTTCAGGTATAATGGACAGACTGACAGAGATCGTGGACATGTAAGGACGACATAAACCTTAGGAATCCAGAGAAGCTTGGGCTGAGAAGACATTTGAGAGACCACCTCCCAGATGTGGAGTTCCGGGAACTGTGGCATTCTTCAGGGCTTGAGTGCTGTTGATTCTTTCTCCTTTTCTGACTGTCTGCTGGGGTTTTGTTGGTCTTAATCCCTCCTGAGGGGCTTTACAGCCTAGGAGCACCTTGCGCTAAACAGACAGATGCCCCCAGAATCTCTGAGGAAGATTCCACTTTGGGAAGTAGTCGTTACTTACAATTATTTGAGTTGGGTTTGCAGATCCCCACCTCCAACTCTTTCCAGTCTGTTGACTTTGGATCCCTCACAGGGCCTCGGTGTCCTCAGCTGTAACAGAGTGAGAATCTTCATCACCGTTTTCAGGAGTTCTATTGACACTAGTATCATTATCCTTGGTGAAGAAGGAAGGTTGCAGCCACGGAGGCTGACAGAGGCCTGGAGTCACAGATATGGGTCC